ACCTGTAGCCCAAGTTATATTATAACAGAGAATGCACGGTCACTTTTACAAGGGAGTTTAGAGAGAATGAACTCGGATACCTCTTTCTGAGGTTTACAGCAGTATATATACTAGGTTTCGGGGGACAGGACCACGTGCGCCCACGTGGGGGCACGATGCTGATGTAGGCGAGGTGATTGTCCCTGAGCTGCCTTGTCATCTTGCGAGGGGGGCTGTGCCCTTGTCGTGTTCTGGTTTGGAAAAGTTTCTTCGGCATCTCCACTAATTCTCCAGTAATGTCAACCACAACAGTCCAAGTCCTTTTGGACTCTTCCTGCCGACACCCTTCAATCTTCGGAAACTTCACCGGTTGGTTCTTGAGGGTTGGATTAGCTAGCTTCGAAGGATGGATTTAGACGATAGAAAAGTTTGACCGGTATACTATCCGAAGTGTACCGGTCAACCTTTTGGTCAACCATCTATCCCCTTCGCTGACGATTCAGGTCCTTCATTCGAGTTTAACCTCTTTGACCGGTCAACTATTCAGTTCCGTCCTTTGCCCGGTCATGGGTGAGATACACCCATCAATACTAGTGTTAACCCCGTGCTTCGCACGGGCTCGTATACATTCTAAATTTTTGATATTCTATAAATATAATTTTATTTATTTTAATTTTCGAATAGTGGCATAATATGTGATAGATAAATATTTTTTTAACTCTAAGATATGTCATTTTTCAAATAATATAATTTAAATATAGATGTACATGCACAAAAGATTCTATAAGTATTTTTTTAAACGTAGTAAAAAAGAAATGATTTATTGTTTTAGAATGTATACAAGTAAAAAAGAAATGATTTATTGATTTATCTGTGTGTGTGTCTATTATTCTCTTGTAAATAGTATTAATTAAAAAAAGTGAGATGAGACTAACCTTCTCCTTCAATAGTAGGCAACCAATCTTTCACAGAAAGTAAAGCCTCAACTGTGTCCGAGTTAAGTGAAGCACGTGTATCCTCAATAACTCTACGAGCTCAACTAAAAGTAGACTCAGAAGGCACTGTTGTGCATGGAATTGCTAATACATCACAAGCCATTTTTGAAAGAATCGGGTACCTACCGCCATTATGCTTCCACCAATTCAAAATATCAAATGCATTGTCTTATTCATACACTAATCCCTCATCGAGATACAAATCAATATCACTTTTCTTAGCAATGGAAGTGGCACTAGACTGAGCAGCAAGTTCCTTGAACCTAGCTAAAAGAGGGCACATGTAACTTGATCATCATACTCCACAAACAAATCATTTTAAAAAGTTTGCATTATATGTATAAAACTATTTGGATAAACATCATCATTACTCCCAAAAGCAGCGTTAACAAGTGTCAATTTATACCTAGGATCAAGAATTGAAGCAATTGTCAAAACCATACAACACTCATCCCAATATTTATCAAACTTTGTTTGCATAAGAAGTGCCATTGCTGAAAGATCGGGATCAATACTCTTACATCACTCTTTCAAGCATTCCCTTATTTAACAAACAAAAGTGAAGCAAAGAGGGGCTGTTGGATACTTACTCCCTGAAAGTGCTTCTGTTGCATTTTTAAAAAATTTCAAATGCTTACAAATCTTAGCACCAATTTCCCACTCTTCTTTGGATGGTAAGTAAATGTAATTACTATCTAATTCAGCCAAATGCTTAAATGCTTCTTTGAGGTCAAGGGCATTCATAACCATATCATATGTTGAATTCCACATAGTATCGCACTCCAAACTTACTCGTCTCTTTAGATTTAGTCGAGTCTGAACCAAGGCAGGATGGAATTTTTCTTCTCTTTGTACTGACTCATTCACATATTTTACACTATCATGAATTTTTCCAATTAATTCTTGAATCACATCCATTCCTTTTTTTCACAATTAAATTCATGATTTGAGCAGAACATCGAATATGAAACATCTCACCATTACAAACAAGTGCATCCTTCCTATTCAACCAATCCCTAATGTCATCCAACATGCCAAAATTTTGTGAGGCATTATCGACGACAACAGAAAATAACTTCTCATCAATATTCCACTCAAGAATACGATTTTTCAACCAATCACACAAACGCAACCCATTATGTGGACATTCAACAACATGAAAAGCTAGTAATTTACTTTGCCATATCCAATCACAATCAATGTAATGACAAGTTACACAAAAGTATCCACAGTTTTGATGATCCGATGTCCAGCCATCAGTTGTAACAGTAATTCGTGAATTTAAATTTCCAAGAACACTTACAAAAAATCTCTTTTCTTCATTGTAAACTTCCATCAAATCATTTTTCACAATGTTCCTTGAGCAAAATTTATAAGATGGCATGCAATATGAAATCCAATGTCCAAAGTATTCATACTGGACATAAGAAAAAGAAAATCATGTTTCGCTATCATTTTAGCAAACAAAGCTCTTTCAATTGATGAATCAAACTTGTTTGTTTTAATCTTATTAGATGGGTTGACATTATCTATAGATTTTCTAATAAAAGCTTGTCTAATATCAACCGATTTTTTAGAAAGAGGGTAAACATCATTATGATTTTCAAGTGAGTAGTGCGAGCCTTACTTGATCCATCGAATTCTTGTTTACATCCCAAGCAAGTTGCAATAACTTTACCACCTCCAAGACACTCCTTGTCATAATAATCCCAAACCCGAGAAGTCAACTTTATTTTTTAACATTGAGTTCTGCACCTTGATGTGGAACAACTGCTTTGGAAGTAATAGCATAAGTGTTTGCAGTTGATTGTGAAGAAGCACCGATGCTTTGTTGAGTTTAGTCTGCCATTTGTCTACAAAACTATCAAACATCTATGTACTAATCCCTAGCGTAAATGCTAATTACGATTACCAAACATCTATGTATTAATCCCTAGAGTAAAACGTTGGTCAAGCAACTCATAATCAACTGAGTTCAAATAGCTAAAGCTAATTGCAGCAGCTCAGGTAATATATATATATATATATATATATATATATATATATATATATATATATATATATATATATATATATGTATATGTATATATATATATATATATATATATATATGTATGTATGTATGTACGTACGTATGTATGTATATGTATATGTGTGTATATATATATATATATATATACATACATACATACATACATACATACATACACACACACACACACACATATATGTGTGTGTGTGTGTTCCCGTGAGAATGCATCTTATGGAGAGAAATAAGAATAAAATCTAGCCATTGGATCTGATCCCTCGTTAGGCTCAGATTGCATTCAGATTGCACCCTGCGCTTAGATTTTGAGATAGTAAATTTTCAAAGGATTTTGCTGCATTTCGACATGATGCATTTTCAAACCATTTTGGTGCACCTAATTTTGATGCAATCATGATCCTTAGATCTCACAATCTAAAACACTAGATTTATTCTCATTTCTCTCCTAAGATCGCATTCTCACTAGAATCAAAATCTATATATATGTGTGTGTGTGTATCAATATATATATATATATATATATATTAATAAAAAAGATTCGAGTTTATTAGAGAAGCAAAGAAAACAAAGGACACAGAGGGGGGACTAGGCCAAAACCCTCTGGGAAGCAACAACGCAACCCAAAATAAGAAGCGAGATAAAAGAGATAACTACCCAAAAGTGGTAGAGAAAGCAAAGAAATTACATCCAAACTACAATTCCCAGATGAATTGTTCCTGAAGAGTAATCATAGTCACGAGGGAGTTGTGTAGGTAAGGCCGTACGTGCTCTTTTTCCATCTTTACGAAGTTCTCCCGTGTGGCCTAAGAGTACATAGCGGCCATGATAGCTTTTAGAACTAATGTTAGGCGTGTCGTAGCACCTACAAATTAATTTATTATTTCCTTAACTTTTAACCCCCTTTATGATTCAATATTCATCAAAACATATAGATAGGGAAAGTAAGGGTCGATCCCACGAGGAAAGATACTTTTATTATTATGAAAATTAGGTCACTTGTCACTTTTATTGAATAAAAACTAACTAAAATCTAATAACTAAAACTAAAGGATATGGGGGGTTTGAATGATAATTCTAAAAAGATAAAAATGCAAATAAAATAAAGATAAGGATAAAATGGGCAAAGAAAACACAACCAGAGCATCAACTTGAAACTTGAAAGGAGACACATGAGGAACACACCGACACAAAGACAAATACTTAAACTTTATAAAAACTTCAACGATAGTAATTAACTTAAACTGATTTTTAAAAATACTTTATAGTTTTGGAAAACAAATTGATCAAATCCAGATTCTCAAATTAACTAAGACTACTCCAAATTAAAACGATTGACAAAACTCTTGGGTTAAGTTGAAGAAGAAATCCACCTGCGGGTCTTCCCTATTCTCCCTAGTATAGCCTATGTTAAGTCATGCCCTAACTCTAGACCCTACTATTTTTAACAACCCAAGGACCTGCCCCCAGATTTAATTAAAAATAGAGCATTAAGTTCTTTGGAAAACATCACTTAACAACTATGCAGTAGACTATATCTATTTATCATAGCCAGTTTGAAAACTCCAATTAATAAAAACCGGATGGGAGCCAATTAAGTATTAATCGGGTGACACTTGTGTTTTGAAAATCTCAGCTATTAACGTACTTAAGACATCAAAACTATCAATTTGGAATTAGATTTTAGGTGGCCATCCTAAATTCGTCTAATCCAAGCATAAACAAAATCA